ACATCCTCTTATATCTATCCCTAATACCATTGTTCTAGTTTAAGTGCTCATCATCTCTGCTGGGCCTTCTCCTAGTCTTCTCTCTTCTCCCCTCTCAATATCCATGCTCCCCACTTCAGCCAAAATTATCTAATTTGAGGTTGATTATCAACCTAAAAACAAAAGCCAGGGATCATTTGAGATCTTGCTCCCTGGTATATGTCATCGGTTTGGTTCAAATAAACTCATAAAAATTCTCCACAGGTTTGAATTTTTCTAACATCAACATTTACTTGGCGTAATCGACAGGATTCCGAAGCCCACCCAGGACCACCCTGCAGAGCCGGATCCAGTGGTAGGTACAAGCAAGGGCTTGTTTAATAGGAATGAACCACTTTTATTAATAACGATATGACAAACACACATGAAATAGGATGGAACTAGAATTTTTATTATTTCAACTACTAATCACTACCCTATATAACAACCTAAGAACCCATTTTAGAGGTTCAGCTCAGCTGGTGTGGCTCAGTGGTTGAGCATCAACCAAGAGGTCACAGTTTGATTCCCGGTCACGGCACATGCCCAGGTTGCCGTCTCCATCCTCAATAGGGAGCGCGCAGGAAGCAGCAGATCGATGAGGTTTCTCATTGGTATTTCTATCCCTCTCCCTTTCTCTCCTTCTCTAAAAATCAATAAATAAATTTTTAAAAAGAAACTGAGGTTCCAAAAAGTTGACAGCCTCAGAATCAAACAACTAGTAGGTAGGTGTCAAAACTGGGGTTGGAGCCTAGGGCTGTGGACTCCCTGATTATGAGGACAGTTCTAAATTTTACCATTGATTTTCTTGGTAATCTTTGGAGCTTTATCTCCTGATTCTTCTATTTCTTGGCCCATTATAACTAGGCTAGCTGGTTGTGAAAATTAGTTAAAGTGCGTCCACCCCCCAACATAACAGTCATTGGCATAGGTACATATATAATGAAACCTGCATTTTTATCTACCAGTCAGAAGCTTAAAATCATGTGGGTGGGAGGGCAGGAAACAGTGTGCTACTCTCTTATCTGTGCTGCTTTCTAAGTTATTAATGTGCTTATGACACAATAAAATTACTACAATAATTTGATTTCAATTCCTTAAGTAGCTATCATTTGTAACAGTTTTCCCTCTTCTTCACATCAGTCCACTGGAACAGAAAGAATGTTCAATAATTTTAATTATTTTCAAAAATTAGTGTGGCAGGTGCTTCCATTTAAATTTCCATTTGCTTAGTGTATAATTATAAAAAGTGGGTGAGATCTTTGAATTTCCCTAGTCCCAGATGAACATTTATAAGAAACAAAAGTATTAAGAATGTTAACGGTGTAATTAAGCCTGTCTTGAGAAACAATTTGGAATTATGACAAGGAAGATCACTTCTTTCTAAAGATGATAGGTATATATAAATCCAAGAACAAGCATTTCACAAAACGTTGGTAAGACAGATTTAGTGTTTAAAAGGCATTAACTACCTTAATTAGTCACACTTCTAAAAACTTAGTTTTGTTATGTTTAACTTATATGCTTTTCATATAGGCAAAAAGATTACAATAATCCAGTTTTATGTTAATTTAGAAAGTCATTGGGGGAATATATGAACAACTATCTTAACCAATTTTTAGTTAATATGCCTTCCTCCCCCAGAAGTGCAAACTCTGGATTTCTGCATCTTTCTCTTTCTCTTAGGCTCTGCATGGAATTTTCCTCTCCTCTCCTCTTGATGGTGTAATACAGGATCACGTGTTCATTGTCTTGTTTTCCCCTGGGTGGTGTAGGTACTTCCATTTCCTTCTCCCTTTTCATCTTTTCTCTCATTACGGCCCCTAACAAGATCCTCTCCAGGGTCCCTCTGATCTCTATGCTAATCGGAAAGCACTGAAATGACTGAAAGCAAGACAAATAGAGAGGGAAAAAAATCCCAAAAGCAGCTGGGAGCCCTTATTTCTAACCATCTCTATGGAAACAATTCCACGGAGATCCAGCTGGAAACAATTCTGTAGGGATCACTGGAGCAGTGGGCACCAAGCCGTACTTACAGGATTCAACTTGCAAACGGGAATAGTTGATAGCCTTTTTTTTTTTTTTAGAAAAATCGTAAAGTAGGAAGTCAAATAAAATTAGGTATACCCCTATATAGTGTACTTTTTTAAAAACTCAAAACTTCCTACTTGTTATAATGATAAAAAAGCAAAAGGAATATATATGTACTAGCTTCTATATGTACTAGCTAGCTTCAGGTTCTTCCTAAGCACTCACACTGGCAAATAGCAAAGTGCACAACACAAAGAAATTATGTCCAAAGAAAACATCAAGGTGTGGTGGTAAAAAATCATTACAGCCCTGACCGGTTTGGCTCAGTGAATAGAGCATTGGCCTGTGGACTGAAGGGTCCCAGGTTCCATTCCAGTCAAGGGCATGTACCTTGGTTGCGAGCACATCCTCAGTAAGGGGTGTGCAGGAGGCAGCTGATTGATATTTCTCTCTCATCAATGTTTCTAACTCTCTATCACTCTCCCTTCCTCTCTGTAAAAAAATCAATAAAATATATTTTTTAAAAATCATTACAGCCGAAACCGGTTTGGCTCAGTGGATAGAGCGTCGGCCTGCGGACTCAGAGGTCCTGGGTTCGATTCTGGTCAAGGGCATGTACCTGGGTTGTGGGCACATCCCCGGTGGGGAGTGTGCAGGAGGCAGCTGATTGATGTTTCTCTCTCATCGATGTTTCTAACTATCTCTCTCCCTTCCTCTCTGTAAAAAATCAATAAAATATATTTTTAAAAAAATCATTACAATGCTTTTAGGATTGTGGCCCATAACCACACAAAGTAAGTATGCGGAAAAGATGCCAAACTCAACTAGGCAGTAAACAGATTGTTCCAATTCAGGCAAGGGATGAAATGGATTACAGAATTCCATCTACCAAATCAGGTAGAACGACTGAAGGGATAAAGTAGGGAATGTGACTTGAAACCAGGAAAGAACTCCATCTGAAGTGTGAAGTTGGAGTCTTTCCTAACACAGCAGTTATTTTAAAAAAGAAGCGGGTGGGGTGCTCATAGTGCCTGTGACCCAGAACAATCACGTTTCAGCCCTATTTAAAAGTCTCCAGCCAACTAACTGTTAACTGCAGGTCTCCTGTCCTGGTAACTCCAGTGTTTTTCAGGGGAAGTAACTTCCATTTGCCTAAAATGATGACCCTGGCCCCTGGAGTAAAACCACCTGGGTTCAGATCCTATCTTCTGCCACTAGGGCAGTGGTTCTCAACCTTCTGGCCCTTTAAATACAGTTCCTCATGTTGTGACCCAACCATAAAATTATTTTCGATCCTACTTCATAACTATAATGTTGCTACTGTTAGGAATCGTAATGTAAATATCTGATATGCAGGATGGTCTTAGGCGACCCCTGTGAAAGGGTCGTTAGACAGCCAAAGGGGTCGCGACCCACAGGTTGAGAACCGCTGCACTAAGGGTTGTGACCCTGGGCAATTTTTTTTTTTTGTCACTTCTCTAAACTCGGGCACCTCATCTGTAAACTGGGGATCATAATAATTACTATCTTTCAGGGCTGTAAGGAGTTGGCGAATTGAGCACAGCACCTAGCTCAAGCAAGTTCTCAATAAACGCGAGCTATTGTTATTATCCCGGTTTTGTTTTCCTGTCTCTTGTAATGATGACCCTTTCTCTGGGGGGCATTTTGAGGGAGTGGGTTCAAGAAAGGCACGACAGCACCACGGCTTAGTCAATTCTTACCGTCCCACACTTGCCTTTTTTTCAAACTGTAAGAGAACATTTATTTAGAAAGCCACAGAGATAGAAGAAATGAGCAGTAGAAGAAATGGGCTTCAGGAAACAAGTTACAGACGCAAAGGGAGGGGCCCTTTGAGCTTAGGAGAGAGAAAAGTCAGAGTGAGACCCCTGGGGGCAAGGGGAGGGGATGGGAAAGGTGCAGGGGCGAGCTCAAGACTGTCCCACTTGAGCAGATTTGAGGCTGAATTAAAGTCATGAAGTGGAAGTTTCCATTATCTGAAGGTAACTGGCTTCCCGGGTCCATCCTACACACCCAGATCTCATGGGGGGGTGGGGGGGGGAGGGTGGAATTATTCAGGTTTCTTCACTGCTAACAGCCTTTG